CAACATTATCAGCTTATCTTGAGCAATATGTCTGTAGGAAGCAGTAACACCAACTGCTGAATGTGGGTCCAACACATATTTAGTTGTGTTAGAAGTGTAAAGATCTTTAATAGCTTTGATGGTTCTTGATTATCAACTCTTTCACTGTCGAAATCTTTCTAGCAGCTGCGATAACTTCTTGTGGAACAGTGAATGAACCAGTTTGTTTCAATTCAGCAAACCAGTTATTTATGGTTTCACCAGCTTTTTCATCTGATTTGGTAACATTGTTTCTAACCAAGTACCATAGTAAACGTTCAAAATTACTTGAAATTAAAATATCCATAGCTGGTGAAAGAGTTGCTTTAACGTCACCACCTTTTTCATATTTAGAACTCTTGAGGAATCTATCCAAGATATCATTTTCATTTGTAGCAATGATTAATCTATCAGCTGGTAGACCCATTTCTTTGGCATAGTAACCAGCCAAGATATCACCAAAGTTACCACTTGGAACAACAAAACGGATTTTTTTATCTGAACCGACCTTCTTAGCTAATTGGAAGTATGAATAAAAGTAATAAGTTTGTTGAGCGAGAATACGGGCCCAGTTAATAGAGTTAACAGCACCAACATGGTGAGATTTGTTGAATTCAACATCACCAAATATTTGTTTGACAATATCTTGACAATCATCAAAAGTACCTTTAACTGATAAAGTGTGAACGTTTGAATCAAGGACTGATGTCATTTGAGCTTCTTGGATTGGGGAAATACGACCAGTTGGATACAAGATGAAAACTGAAACATCCTTTTTACCTCTCAACCCATAAATAGCTGCTGAACCAGTATCACCTGAAGTTGCACCAACAACTGTTAAAACATCTCTGTCAGCACCAGTTTTCCCAGCATTTTTACGTTGTAAGAAATATTCAAATAAGTTACCAACAAATTGTAAGGCAACATCTTTGAATGCATAAGTTGGACCGTGGAACAATTCTAATAAATATAAACCATTAGCTTCATCAATTGGGTTTAATGGAGTAATTTCTTCATGTCTGAATGTAGAGTAAGAGTTGTGCACTAATTTTTTCAAATCTTCATCTGGAATTTCAGATTCTTTGATATATAGTCTCATGATTTCGAAAGCTAATTCTTGGAAAGATAATGTTGACCATTTTTCAATAGTTGAAGCATCAACTTGTGGAATGGCTGATGGGACGAAAAGACCACCATCTGAGGCTAACCCTTTCAAGACAGTTTCTTCAAAAGAGAATGCTTGTTCTCCAGTGGCACGAGTGGAACGATAGGTTTGAGAAGACATGGTTGGATGATAATGTTGATGTCAAAAGGTGTAAATAAATCAAATGCCAACGTTTTTCGAGATCACGATGAGTCTTGAAGAAAAGAAAAAAAAAAGCATCGGTGCCCGGGTAGAATGGCAGAAATTTATTGTCACGTGAATCTGCTTAGAAAGTTTTTAAAAAATCATTTCCATGATGATGATGAGCATTATCAAAACCTTTAAAATTTGGAACAACAGGGAGACTTTGGTGATTAGAGATGGTGTGCCAAACTCAGAGATCCATGCTAATTTCAGCAATATCAAATGTTCAAAAATTAAACCAAAGTAGAATACGGCTCAGATTGTTTAGTTCAAGTGTATCAAGATATAATGAACTTGATGATGTTTTTGGCCCACAAAAATCTGGCCTTTTGCAAGATTCACAAGCTGATAATTATGAATTTGGTCGCAATAATCATCCTACTCTCAAGCACTTGGACCGTAAAAACGATAGAGGTACACATGGGAAGTTCGAAGAGTCAGTTGTTCCTGATGATGAATCATACCCCGATTATGACCCAGCTGCCAGAAATGAAGTTGCTCGATCACTTGGACGAAGACCTGAATTTGCACGTCTATATACAAAGAATGAAAATGTACTTCTCAGAATTTCTGAAGGTTGGAGAAGCCCTGAGCAATATGCCGACGCCTTTAGATCAAAGTTTTCAGCAAATAGTACATACCAAAAAATATGGTCTAATAATTTAGGAACATTGGATTTAACCAAATTGAAATCACCAGTGGATTTTGCTATGGCTAAACCAGAACAACTGAAACGTGATATGAATGAGTATAAAAGAAAATTTGGTAAAACTTTTACCACTGAAAAGGATTATGTTGCTGTTAACAAAGAGATCGAAGCGAAAGTGTGTCCAAGAGTTTTTGAAAAAGGTGATGTTGTCATATTGAGCAGCTCAGTTGGAAGCTTGGGTGATAAAGCCATTGTTGTTTCAACGGTCCGAGATGAGAACTATTTGAAAGCCATTAAAATTGGTAACACGAGTATAACAAATGCAAAAGATGGTTACATTGTCGTTAAGATAAGACATCCACTGACTGATCCCTTATACATTTATGATAAAACGGTTGACATGAAATCTGGGGACAGATGGAAAGGGTTTGGTGCCCGTGTTGAAATTGAAAGTGGTGAGACACTTGTACATACTGGATATCGTGTTGATTTTGATTTTTTGCATAATAAAGACTTGTTTGATCATTTCAAGGATCCTATTGAAAGACCATTCATTGAGGAGAATATTTTGATTCCTGAGTTGAAAGAACGTTTTTTGTCCCGAAAAGACTTATTTTTATGGGTGGGTGTTGGTAATTCAGCACATATAAGAGCAGAGAGAAGCTAACCTTGTATATAGATATAGAATGGTAGACGGAAATGACATGTACATGAGTTCACAAAGTTACATGATTATATTATTCTTGTACACATCTATTAATCATTCTTAAATACGATTGGTCTTTAATAAAATATCGACATTCTCTGACAACATTTCATCTGTGTAAAACTCAGATCTTCTGACAGATTCTTCGTTATATCCTTCATCACCAGATAGAATTTTAAGTAATTTAGAATGTGATTCTGTAAAATCTTTGAAGAAGTTAATAGGGTCCTTTGATAATTGATCATAAAATTGATGCTTTCTATGAGAATTATGCAAGGCCTGAATTCCTAAAACTATCTTGGAATTTAATTCTTTAATGGAATCATCATATTCTGTAATTATCTTTTTCAGCTCATTTCTCCAATTTTCTTGTTCAGAAATATCATCAACTGGAACTTCAACATCAATGACGGTATCACCTAAAGTTGAAGCCTTATCAACTCTGATTTCATATTCCAATTCAATAGGTTTGTTCGCACTCAAATGTTTGGATAGAAGATCTATCAAATCTCTAAAATTGAATCTTGGAACACCAAATAATTTAGACAAGTTTTCATCACAATTGATAATTCTTTTATCTTCTGGTGCTTGTAAGTTATTAAATTGAATATATTGCCATATGGAGTAAACTGCATCATGTTGGGTCAATTCAGTTACCCCTAATAATGAAGAAAGTTCATTGGAAACTCTAAATTTGATTGGGAACTCTTTAGGTTGGATTGTAATTTTGGTTTTGATGTTTTCACCACCAGATCTTTTCACGTCTAACCCATCGAAATCAACTCGAGGAGCGTTTTGTTCATTCTGCTCGTGCCACTCGATGATATTCTCTTTTGAAGGTTGTTGAGGTTGGTTTGGGTCATGTGTTTGTTGTTGTTGTTGATTGTTATTTTGATTCAATAGATCAATCGATATACCACTTAGAAAAGAGCTAAATTTTCTTCTCGTTGGATCTTCAGCTTTTTCGTTATTCACTAATCTCCCTTCTATTCTTAAAGTCCAGTTTGGTTCTTCAGTAGGTTGTTGTCCTGGTTGTAATTGCCATGGTTGATTTTCAGTTGTGTTAAAGATAAAGATTCTCAACAATTCCTTCTTTCTTGGGATTCTAGTGATATTTTCTTGCAAGTCATTAATCTTTCTTGTGGTGAATATGTCAACACGTTTTTCAGCCTCTTGTAACCTTCTGTACAATTCAACTTCTGGCACTATTTTATCAATGGTATGAGGGATGTTTATATCTGTTGGACGTGTCTGCATTGTGGTGATCCCCTGTTGAGCAATCTGCTGAGGAGCAGCCTGTTGAGGCACTCTGCCGCTGGTGATGTTTGGCTTGACCATTTTCTAGATGTTTCCACTGGTCTCAACAACTGTGTTTTGATGACTTTTCCAAATGATTTGATCAAGTTTTGTTGTTGTCTTTTTGAATTCTGAACCTTTTTCCACGAAACGCAAAAAAAAAAGCTGCCAATTTTCAACGTGACACGAAATTTTCATATGTTGAAAAAAAACGCGAAACGTATTGAATAAACAGTTTGAATTACATTTTCAACGTGACTTTACAATCAATAAGTGATAAGGTTTCTTTAATCATGAGTAAAGTGACTTTTGAAGAGGCTGTGCAGAAAGCTGTTGAAGAAAAGCTCAATGACCTGAACGGTGAAGAAGAAGATGGTGATGATGAAAACCCACAAAAGGAATTGTCTATTCAAGAAGAATACCAGTTATGGAGAAAGAATTGTCCAGTGATGTATGAGTTTGTATCAGAGACTGCTCTTACATGGCCTAGTTTGACCGTCCAATGGCTTCCGGATCAGGAAATCACAAGCACAGGGATTAATCAACGTTTGATTTTGGGTACTCATACTTCTGGTGAAGATACTGATTATTTGAAAATAGCGTCAACACAATTACCTAAAAGTTTGCTCGAGATTAAATCTGAGAAAGATAATGAAGATGAAGATACTGCTGATGTTAATTCTGTTGAACAAAAACAAGGTGTTAATGCTAGATTAAAAGTCACAAAGAAATATAAACATGAAAGTGAAGTGAATCGTGCTCGTTATATGCCACAAGATCCAAACTTCATCAGTACAATTAGTGGCTCAGGTAAAGTTTACGTTTATAACACCGGCTTAGAGACTAAAGAAGCACCATTGGTTTTGAATCATCATACTGAAAATGGTTATGGTGTTTCATGGAATCGTTTCGTTAAAGGACATTTGTTAACTTCATCAGATGATAAGACCGTTGCACTTTGGGATATAAGTAAGCCAGATGCCCCACAACATGTTTTAAGATCTCATACAGATATTGTTAATGATGTTCAATGGCACAATAGAGATGGTAATCTATTTGGCTCTGTAAGTGAAGATAAAACAATTCATCTATATGATACAAGATCATTACCAAATCCAACCAATATAATTCAACGTCATGCTGCTGTCAATACCATAGCATTCTCAAATCACTCATCTAACCTGTTTTCTGTTGGTTTGGATGATTCTACAATTGAATTATTCGATATTAGAAACCCTCAACAAAAATTACACACAATCATGGGTCACTCAGAATCAATCACCTCATTGGAATGGGACCCTCATAACGATGGAATCCTTGCTTCTGGTTCACAAGACAGAAGAGTGATATTATGGGATATTAAAAAAATTGGTGAAGAACAAATCCAAGAAGATGAAGACGATGGTGCTCCTGAATTATTCATGATGCATGCTGGTCATACATCTGGTATCACTGATCTTTCTTTTAATCCAAACATTCCATGGACTTTGGCCACCAGTTCAGATGACAATATTGTCCATTTATGGAAGATTGCAAAGAAGTTGACCAATGAATATTATGGTGAAGTGGAGGAAGATATTGATTACTTTTCGTTGGAGTAATGTTAATAAACAAGTGTATTCTATTATCATTCACCTTTGTAGGCTGGATCCATGCGTAAATCTCAGTACTAAATGAACGTAAATTTCAGACCGCGACCTCCTCGAAAAAAAATATCGAGATCGAGAATAAAGTGAAAAATCAAATATCAATAATACGTTTGGTTGGATAGCTAGAGCTCCAGGGAACCCTCACTTATTACTTATAAATCGACTATCCATTATGAGCTCCAATCTATTCAAGCAAATTCCATTTGCAAGAGTGCCCCTTGTCAGATACTCTGTTGCTTCCAAAAGATTCAATAAAGCCGAAGTTCAACTACTCAAAGATTTTCCAAGTGTTGGTAAAAGAGGTCAAATTCTAAAAGTTTCACACTCTTTAATGAGAAATAAACTACATCCACATAATGGTGCTTGCTATATAGTTCCTGGTCAAGGTCCAAGAATACCAATCTATAAAGAACCAAAAAAGATAATTCGTGTCGCTCCTAAACCAAGTAAAGTGGGAACTCCAAATGCTCCAGCTCCAAAGAAAATCTCTATTGATATCGAAGGATTATTACTAAACATTCCAAAAGATAATTCAAAAGCTTCGAGCAGAATTCAACCATCAAAGGCTAGTTATTCATTATTCAATTTATCTGTCAATTTAGGTGATTTGAAATTTAAAGTTCAAGAAGAAGATGGTAGCTTGAAGACACCAATTGATAAAAGTGCAATCGCTGCACAAATAAAGAAAATGGTAAACATAAGTGTCCCAGAAAGTGATATTACTCTAAAAATCAAAAGAGATATCATAAGTGAAATCACAAAGACTGGTGAATATAGATTGGAAATAGGAACATCAGAAAAGGCTACTAAAAAAATCTTTGTCGACGCCGAATTATGATGAGGTTCTTAATTATTTATGTATAAAGCGAAATTTTGGTCATTGCATTGTGTAAATAGATAGTTTAATGGTTTAGTTTCAAGGATATGATAATTTGCATATGTAAATGCCTACAATTGTTTTTTTAATTAAACTTTCTCATTAAAATAACAAAAATAAATTCATAAAATCTCTCCCGTTTTTGAAATTCACAAACATTTGAACTAATATACAGTTATGCAATCCCCTTCTTTATTTCTTAATGTATTTATGCAGCTTTTAATACAACAATTACTGAATCACCTCTTAAAAACATCTTACTGACAAATCTTTCCTTTGGAACTGGTTTCCCCTTTTTCCCCTTGGAATTTCTAGGTGTTTCTGTCCATAACTGAAATACCAATTGTTAGTAAATAATCAAAAGGCTAAAATACGTTTCATATACTCACTTCTTTTACATTTTCCAACACTAGATTGGAGTGTCTATCAAAAGCTCTTATTTTGGCCAATAGTTTATGGTTGTTTCTGCAAGATATAAGCACTTGGGTACCATTTTGTACAGCATCTTGTAGTATTGACATTGGACCATGTGTGAATTCATATTCTTCTAATTTTTGCAATTCAATATCAGTTAATTCTGATTTTGGACGATCCACTAGTTCACTAAATTTATAAGGTTAGTAAACACTTTAGAAAGAATAAAGGCTCACATATTCTTCCCATACATACGCCATGATTATCTTTTTCCTTTATATCTATTCTTAATTGCACTGTCTATGGATAACTTAGACTTCTTTTGCCATTATCTTGATCACTTTGTATTTGAACTGAAAAGTTGTTTTCATTTGAAATCCCCGTAATTTACTAAATTTAGCCATATTCCGACCAGATGTCTTAAAATGGATACTTTCCATTTTGGGATATTTTCACTTCTTTCTCGAAAAACGCGAAAAAAAAATTGTTTCAGTCGCGTCAGTTTAATTTTTTTGCCTCGAGAATCTCAAACTTCCTAAAGTAGAAAAGTAATTACATGCTGAGTTTTGTTTTGAATTTGAAAGAAAATACAAAAGTTTCAATAACATTGACTTTTTTTAATCCATACAGCAACACACTATCCAAACAAGATGTCATTTGATGCTCCAGCTATTTATGGTGCTCCAGTTCTTCCTGGTGAAGAAGCTGAACAAGATTCAAATCAAGAAATTATCACAGCTTTCAAGAACTTCGTGTTGGAATACAGAGTTAACAATGATTTCGTATATCGTGATCAACTGAGAGAAAACTTATTAGTGAAAGAATATTCATTGACAGTTGAAAGTGAACATCTTATTGGTTATAATGAAAATTTGAACAAGAGTTTAACTGATGATCCATCTGAAATGATTCCTCTCTTTGAAAGAGCCATCACTGACGTCGCTAAAAGAATTGTCTTCTTACAAGATTCAGAAGTCCCACTAAGTTTCCCAGTTTGTCAACTTATCCTAAGATCTAATGCCTCAACTTTGTCAATCAGAGAGTTAGATGCTGATCATATATCCAAGATTATTCGTGTCAGTGGTATCATCATTAGTGCTTCCGTCTTAACTTCAAAAGCCACATCAGTTCAAATAATGTGTCGTTCTTGTAGACACACTCAAAGAATATCTATACATTCAAGTTTTGGTGGGTTACAATTACCTAAAACCTGTGCAGCTGTCCCAGCTGATGGTGAAAAATCTCAATGTCCTCCTGAACCATATCTTGTCGTACATGATAAATCACAATTTATTGATCAACAGATTTTAAAACTACAAGAATTACCAGAAATGGTGCCAGTTGGTGAAATGCCTAGACACGTTTTATTATCAGTTGACCGTTATTTAACTAATAAGATTATCCCAGGTACTCGTTGTACAATCAATGGTATTTACTCTATTTATCAATCAAAAGTGAAGAATGCCTCTTCGGTTGCTATTAGAAACCCATATATTAGAGTTCTAGGTATTCAAACAGATGTTGATCATAACGCAGCTGGTAATGCCATCTATACAGAGGAAGAAGAGGAAGAATTTTTGGAATTATCAAGAAACCCAGATTTGTATGAATCTTTTGCAAATTCTATTGCTCCTTCAATTTATGGTAACCTGGATATTAAAAAGGCCATTGCATGTTTATTGATGGGTGGATCTAAAAAATTGTTACCAGATGGTATGAGATTAAGAGGTGATATTAATGTCTTATTATTAGGTGATCCAGGTACTGCTAAATCTCAATTGTTAAAATTCGTTGATAAGGTTAGTCCAATCTCCATTTATACTTCCGGTAAAGGTTCATCTGCTGCTGGTTTAACAGCTTCTGTTCAAAGAGATAGTACTACAAGAGAATTTTACTTGGAAGGTGGTGCTATGGTTTTAGCAGATGGTGGTGTTGTCTGTATTGATGAATTCGATAAGATGAGAGATGAAGATAGAGTTGCCATCCATGAAGCTATGGAACAACAAACAATTTCTATTGCCAAAGCTGGTATTACAACTGTTTTGAATTCAAGAACTAGTGTGTTAGCTGCTGCAAATCCAATTTTTGGTCGTTACGATGATATGAAAACACCTGGTGAAAATATTGATTTCCAAACAACCATTTTATCAAGATTTGATATGATTTTCGTTGTTAAAGATGACCATAATGAAGGTAGAGATATCTCAATTGCTAACCATGTTTTGAACATTCATACAGGTAGAAATAACCAACAAGAAATTGCTGGTGAAATTCCAATCGATAAGATGAAAAGATATATTTCATATTGTCGTTCAAAATGTGCTCCAAGATTATCTGAACAAGCTGCTGAAAAACTAAGTTCACATTTTGTCGAAATTAGAAAAACAATCAATGATGCTGAAAATTTAAGTGATCAAAGATCTTCAATTCCGATCACAATTCGTCAATTAGAAGCTATTATCCGTATAACAGAATCATTGGCTAAACTACGTTTATCACCAGTTGCTACTGAAGAACATGTTGATGAGGCTATCAGATTGTTTCAAGCTTCTACTATGGACGCTGCAAACCAAGGTAATATCACTACTGCTCCAAAGTTGAAATTAGAGATTGACAAGATTCAAAATGAAATTAGAAGAAGATTACCAATTGGTTGGTCTACAAGTTATCAAACCTTGAGAAGTGAATTCGTTGCTGGTAAAAGTTATTCCCAACAGGCTCTTGATAAAGCTTTATACGTTTTGGAAAGACATGAATCAATCACATTTAGAAACCAAAGACAAAGAATTCTAAGGTCTGGTGTTTGAGTTTCAGGTATCTAAATGAGTTCGGAGTTTTTTTGGTTTTTTAGTTAATGATTTCAAATATATATCTAATAATGTTGAAGTAAATGTAGAAAGTGAAAGTATTCCAGTTTGTCAACGCCTAATTTATACAAGTACTTACTAAAATAGAAGAGCTATAAAAAGATCTATTCATTAAAATATCACCCCAATTAGGGTGAATGTCTATAGTACACATATCCATTAATAACGTTTCAACTTTTATTTTAAGCCTGTATCTTACGGCTTTGAGCCAATGGTGCAACCAAGTCTGTAGCTCTATTCAGCACATTTTCAACTCTACCTTTCAAAACATTTGATGAACACTCGACTGTCAAATCGTAGTAGTCGATTTTAGCTTCATTTTTACCAATTTTAATGACAGCAGTTTTTCCATCTTCATTATTTGTAAATGCTTCACCAAATTGAGCTTCCAACATTGCTGTGATTCTCTTTATTCTAGTCGAAACTCTGGTATCAGCTAGCGAATCTTCCAAGTGAGTGGGATCTTTTGAGTGGTCATGGTCACATGACTTCGATGATAACTTGACAGAAGCTGGTGATGAATCAACAGAAAGTAAAATTGCAACGACTGAATCTGCAATTGTATCATTAATTATACCACTTGTCCATTCGATTGTACAAATACCGTTTATCAGGTTCACTGATATTTCATCCATTAGTTTCAATTCAAATTCATCCTTATCATCAATCAAAATTTCGACATAACCAAACATTTGTGATAAATGCCATTGTATCAAATCTCTTCCAGCATCGACCCTGATAGTTTGACGTTCTTTAACGATTGTAGAAGTCAAACCAGCATATTCCCTTAGATCATCGACCTTCATTAGGTTCAAGTCAAAATCTTTGGAGACCAAAACACCACTTAATGTTTCATTTGTTTGTTTTTCTTCAACGATGGCACCCAAAGCCTTTGCAATTTTCAGTCCTTTAAACTTCAAGTCTAACTCATCACAATTTCTTGGGTTGTAAACTTTAACTTCTTGATCAGTTCCTTTAAATCTGGAGTATTTTGATAAAAGTGCAGATTTTAATCTACCCATTGGATTAGATTCACCATGAACAAGAATAATAGTTTTCGGATCAACCAATTCAATAAATTTGGAGTTTTGTTCATAATCAACATGAGCAGCAAATGAGATTTCCTCAATGTTTATTCTTCTTGGTATACTATTATCTGGGTTTTGGAAGGACGGAATTTGATCAGGCTCTGTCAATAAGTTTTTTGCCAATGTACCTTCAACGGAATAACCAGTCATGATAACTGAATTTCTTGAATCTGGGGCCCATCTTTCTAAAAGCTCCCTTGAAACACCATTCTGTAACATACCAGGACTTGCCACGACAACACACGGACCAAAATCATCGAATTTATCCAAATTTTTGATGTTTTTAATGTGTTTGAACTGGAAGGGGTTCGAGTTTTGATCTCTAAACTGTTTTCTTATATTATCATTCATCATATTAATATACGTTTGGAAAACTGCCAAACATTTCTTTGCCAAAGAGGATGCATAATAAACGTTAACACCATCTAAATCTTGGTGCTGAGACCAGTATTCATCCAAAATCAACAACAATTCTTGAGCAGTACCCAAGGCGAACACCGGTAATAACACTCTACCACCTTTAATCAAAGTTGAATGGATTAAATTTGTCAATCTGACTTCCTTCTCTAGACGTGGTTCATGAGTAGCTGTACCAAAGGTTGATTCTGTAATAAGGACATCTGGTTTTGTTGGAGGAACTTCTGCAGGGTTTAAATGACGATTTTCTTCCCTTGAGTAATCACCAGTGAATAAGAATTTCAACCCACCTATTTCAACAAGGAACATTGCAGCACCTAACACATGACCAGCATGATAAGCGGTAAACCGTATACCATCAACTTCTATTGTAGAATGATAATCAACTGTTTCGATTTTATCAAAAGATTCCGATAAATCATCATCTGTATATAATGCACTTGAAGCTGAAGCTCCGATGGATGTGACCTTAACGAAATCACTCAATAGCCAACGATAAATAGCTTTAGTAGGATGTGTCATAAAGACTCTTCCTTTGAAGTTTGTATGTTGCATAACATATGGTAACGAGGCAGCATGATCCAAATGGAAATGAGAAATCAACAAAATGTCAACTGTGCTTAGATCAAATTCATCATAGAAAGGAAGAGCAGCAATCCCTGAGTGAGCAGGATGCACACCAGCATCTAACATGATGGTTTTCCCCTTATATTGGATAATATGACACGATCTTCCGACCTCATTACCACCACCTAGATTCATAAATCTAAAAGATTCGGCGCCATTGGCCTTTTGATTGCTGTTAGTGGAACGCTCATTATCTAATAAAACAATTCAACATACTGATTCGCCTTCTTTAGTGGCCATTTCCCCGATAAATCCCAGAAGTAGCTCCTTTAATGAACTTTTTGTAAAGTGTTCTTTAATGAATCAAGTTGAAGTTTTTCTAACCAAAGAAAAAAACAAAAAAAATCTGCTGGGCGTAACAAATCTTTTTTTCAACCAACTTTCATACTAATTAAGAGAAGTACGAGTTCATTCGATAAAGTTGTTAAATGATGCTATTCCCTAGTGTCAAGCAGTCTTTCGGTAGGCTCCTAGCGTCCCGTCCTCTTTTGAACCGTGGTTTTAGCCTGTTTCCAAGCCTGGCTATCAAGAACAACAAACTACCACCGAGACCAAAGATTGTTGAAGATGAAATAGAGGAAAAGTTCTTGAAAGGTGGTAGAGGGCCAGGTGGTCAGAAAGTGGGTAATGTATGATTAACTTTTGGATATACAGTCTTACTGACAAGAGTTTTAGATCAACAAAACCAATAGTAAAGTCCAATTAAAGCATATTCCAACGGGTATTGTGGTTACATGTCAAGAAACTAGAAGTCAAGATCAAAATAGAAAAAGAGCTAGAGAAATATTAGCTGCAAAAGTTCAACATGCTTTAGATCCAGAAAACAGTCGACAAACTATTGTTCAAGAATGGAAACATAACAAAAGGGCAAGTAAAAAGAAGAAATCAAGAAGAAAATACAGGAAATTAGAAGAAGAGAAGAAGAAATTACAAGAACAAGAGTCTGGTATTGTCTCAAATAATGAAACTTCTACGGCTACAACTACACCTTCTGAACAAAATGAAAACAAAAAATCACCAATTACAGATGCTTTAACTAATGCTATTGTCAATTCTGTTGACTAACCAATCCGTTGTTTCGATGGTTCAAAAGGTAAGAATATTGAACAAATACCAATGATTCCAATACAGGCACCAGAAATCCAAATAGGAACTGAAGTACCAGTATCAGCAAAGTAAGCAATAACAGGTACAATGCAAGACATGCCTCTCATACAAGAGATTGCAAGAGCATTACCAGTTGCTCTAGCATTTGATGGCATAATTTCTGGTGTATAAGCATAAAGGCATGAAAAATAAATGTAAATAGCCACATAAACTGCACTTGATAACCCAACGTTTTGCTGCCTTGTCTTTATTTGAGTGTATCCAAAGAACAAGGCCATACTTGAAAGGCCCCCAATCACCATAACGCCTCTTCTACCCAATACTGGACAATAGTACAACAAAAACCCACCAATCAATCCTCCGCCCATTGACGAAGCATTGGAAATCACAGCATCCCTGTAAACACCGCTAACTGTTTGGGGTGAAATATTGAGACCTCTTGTAGCTAAATAAATTGGTAAAAAATTTGTGTATAATGGATATGCAATTCCCAGCAAAGTCCAAGATAAAAAGATCAATGTTGAGGACAATGCAAGAACTCTATTGCTGAACAAAGTCTTTATATGTTTCCAAATGAGTCTAAACGTAGTTTTAAATGAACTCTCTTGTAAATAATCTTCATTTGAAGTTATTGGTCCAAGTGCTTCTAACTCTTCTAATGTTAATGAACAAGTCCTATTGTATTTATTTGCAATCGTTTGTAGTGTTTCGATAGCTTCCCTATCACGGTTATTAGCCACTAGAAACTTTGGAGTCTCTTGAAGCTCAATAATTGTTAATCTCAATATTGCAATGATTAGAACCAACCCACCGTTAACAAACCAAACATATCTCCACCCTCTATTACTAGCATCAGAACAATCATCCTCATTATGACAGATAAATCTGTCTTGACTAAAGAATAACCATGCAGTTAAAACAGCGACTGTTTGACCAATAGACCACCAGGCAGCCATTAAAGTAACAAGCCATTGATTCTTATGAGGTAAAAACTCTAAAAATATAGTTGTATCCATAACTAGATTACCACCAGCACCAGCAGCGGTCAATGCAACAAATAAACAATAAGTACCAAAATTCCCCATACAACCTGTTAATATAGCAAATATTGAACTCATGAATAACGAGGAATTGAATGCAACTTTTCTTCCAATTAGATCTGCTCCAAATCCCCAAAATAAAGCTCCGAAGAATAATCCTGCAAAGAAAGCATTTGAATCGGCAGGGAACCCTTGTCTATATTGATAACGAACATATTGGGCAACTGAGCTTTGTAAAAAAGTTAAATCAGAATCAACAGCGTAACCCATTCCATTTAAGCAAAATAATTTGAAATGATACCAAGTGAATCCGATTTCATCAAGGGCATCGTTTATAAGATTGATCTTGGAACGGAATGCATCATCTGCTGTATCAAAATTTGATAAATCACCTTTCTTTATAAAGAAACTTGAGAATCTACCAGATGTTAAACTTTCTTCATCTGATAGAGATTTTGAAGTCTTTTCAGCTTTTGTGGAACTCATAATTGTGATTATTTCATTGAGAGTGTATTGTGATCTTTTAGTTTCCATATGGGAACATGTAAGCTTATATCTGGAAAAGATTAGATGAGATATCTAGTTGCAATTATCAACTGTATTCCAAGCTTGCTCATTCGTGTTAAGAATTTCAAAGAGAGGATCATTAGCCTATTAGATTTGTTTATTTTCTAAATTTCAAGAGAAGATATAAACTAAAGGGTTATCAAACGTTAATCTTGAAAACGATGATCAAAGCAAAAAGCTGGGGTTCATTAAAATGTGTCACTTTGTGCATCAAGAGGCTCTTGGGTATGACGTTTTTTTGAACTAAATGAAACTCCCCAGATCATACGGCCACAGTAAACATTTTGATGAGATAGGCAGTCATTCTTTTGGTATCATCCATTCACTTTAGAGTCCTCAGTACTCAGTACAAAATATTGTAAGTTGCTTTCAAGTCAAGAAACTCGTGTATTAAAATTTAAATGGTAAGTGCACATCTTCAACACCCAGGGCATCAAACCATCAGTTTTAATACTAATCAGAGATTTTTCAGTAAAATTTACTACATTTTTATCCATTTTTCAAAGAAAACTAGTCTAAAGTATATTATTAAATCATTTTATGCATTTGGATCTAAGCAACTCTTTGTTTTGATGGCTCAAATGGGAAAAATAAGGCACACACAGCGATAACCCCAACACAGGCACCACAGATCCAAACTGGAATAGCCGAACTAGTATTGGCAAAATATGCAATTAATGGAACAAAACAACCAGTAAGTCTTGTCAATGCAACACAAAGAGCATTCCCAGTGGCTCTACTAGCTGATGGCATAACTTCTGGAGTATATGCGTATAGACAAGAATAATAGATACAGATTGCAACGAAAACTGCAGATGATAAACCAACGTTTTCAGCCCTAGTACGAACAGCTGTATAACCGAAAAATAGAGCCATACTAGATAATCCACCAATCACCATGACACCTCTTCTTCCAATAGATGGGCAAAAATAAAGAATTGCACCACCTATTAACCCACCGGCTGTTGATGCTGAGTTTGAAATTAAAGAATCACGATAAACACCACCGACAGTTGAAGCTGATGTATTTGCACCTCTTGTTGCTAGATAAGTTGGTAAGAAATTGGTATATAAAGGATATGATATACCTAATAATGCCCAAGAAATTGCAATCAAAGTGGAAGAAGTTGCCATTATTCTGTTTGCAAATAAACTTTTCAAATGTTTGATAATTAATTTGTAGGTTGTCTTGATTGAAGGTTTATTCATAAAGTTTTCATTTGAAGTAACCTCACCACAAGCTTCCAAATCTTCCAAGGTTAATGAACATGGTCTATTGTATTTTGCAGCGATTCTTTGTAAACATTCAACAGCTTGTTCATCTCTTTGATTACAGACCAAGAATTTAGGAGTTTCTTCCAATTTGATGACAGTCAATCTCAAAATTGCAATAACCAGGACAATACCACCATTAACGATCCAAACATATCTCCATCCCATATTTTCAGAACCGGGACAATTATTTTTACCTTCACAAACAAATCTATCTTGACTGAAAAACAACCAAGTGGTTAAGACTGCAATAACTTGACCAACAGACCACCAAGAAGCCATTAATGTAACCAACCATTGATTTTTACTTGGTAAGAATTCTAAAAACACAGTAGTGTCTAAAACCAAATTCCCACCAGATGCTGCTGCAGATAATGCAACAAATAAACAATAAGTACCAAAATTACCCATCACCCCAGCTAAGATAGCAAATATAGCACTAATCAATAAAGATGAATTGAATGCGATCTTTCTTCCAATCAAATCTGCACCAAACCCCCAAAAGATAGCACCTGTTAATAAACCGGCATAAAGAGCATGTGTATCTGAAGGATATGTTTGATGGAATTGATAACGCACATAAGTTGCCACAGAACTTTGTAATAATGTTAATTGGGAATCAACAGCATACCCCATCCCATTCAAGCAAAACAGTTTGAAGTGATACCATGTGAACCCAATTTCATCGAGAGCATCATTTATCAAGTTGATTTTAGAACGTAGTGCAATATCAGAAGTATCAAACTGTGATAGCTCACCCTTTGGGGCCTTGAAAAACTTGTAAGAATAATCAGTGGATGAACTTAAACTAGAACGTTCATCTTCTTTAGTGGTGTGTAGGATTTGTTGGGATTTCTCAACGTCTGTAGACATGGTTAACTCTTGTTGGTTAATCCTCTTGTGACTTGGAGTCTAACAAAGTTTCCTTGAGGTAAAAGGGCATTCGACGAGTTTATAAATGGGCTTCGAGTCAGTCGATCAGTTTCTGCATCTTGAACAGTTTTTTTTAAGCAGCACGTTGACAGGATTTCTTGATAATTCAACACTTTGATGGCCAAAGTCCAACAAAACAAGAGATTGAGGACATTTCAAAGGGCTGTTAAGATTTGTTCAGTAGTGGGAATCTCATTCATTGTCTTCATTAGATCCATACCTTACACAATGTGGATACTCTCTCTTTGGTGAGACTCTGGCTCATCAAAAGTTGCAACAATAATGCACATGTGCTTTTTTCGAGATCCCATGTGCAACTTTTTAAGGTTTCGCGAACTT